GGTATTGGCGGAGACGAACGATGCGTCGGAGGTGGAAGAAAGTGGTGCTGGTGAGGGACCGGATGTGGGGGAGGAAGGATAATTGGAGGTCCAATCTTACGCCTAGGTTGCGTACGGGTTCGGAGAGTTTTAGGGGGAGGTCGGGTAGGTGGAGGAGGTGAGAACCGTGAGATTTTAGACGTTTACGAGACCCAAAGAGTATGGCTTCCGGCTTGTTAATGTTCAGCTGAAGGAAATTTGCGTTCATCCAGCTCCTGAGGTCTGACAGGCAGGCTGACAGACATCAGAGGACTGGGGGTCACAAAGTGAGGTGGAAAAATAGAGTTCGGTGTCGTCCGTATACATGTGGAAATGTACCCCATGTCTGGGGATGACATCCCCAAGAGGGAGCATGTAGATCAGAAAGAGTAGGGAGCCAAGGATAAATCCTTGGGGTACCCCACAGGTAACCGGGTGAAAACGGAAGGAGAAGCCGTTTGTGCAGATGTACTGCTGGCGGTTTGTGAGGTAGGACTCGAACCAGGCGGGTGCAGTCCCACTGAGGTGGATGACGGACGAAAGGCGGTGGAGGAGGATGGCGTGATCGACTGTGTTGAACGCAGCGGAGAAGTCCAGGAGGACAAGGAGGCAGAGGGAGCCCTGGTCACAGATAGAGAGGATGTCGTTTGTGACTTTCACAAGTGCAGTCTCTGTACTGTGGGCAGGGCGGAAGCCAGACTGGAGGGGTTCGAAGAGGGAGTGGGAGGAAAGGTGTGCCCAAAGTTGAGCAGCAACAAATCATTCTAGGACTTTTGTGAGGAAGGGCAGGTTAGGAATAGGGCAGTAGTGGCTGGAGTTTGAGGGATCTAGGGAAGGTTTTTTGAGGAGGGAGGTGATGACAGCAGTTTTGAGGGGGGGCAGGGACTGAGGCAGCAGGTGATGGGTTTCATTGAGGTGATGGTGGGTGAGAGGGAGGTGGGAGAAAGGAATGTAGGATGGGGATCGTGGTAGGAGCAGATGATGGTGAGAGTGAGGGGAACAGAGAGGGCGTGGTGGTGGGTGACAAGACGCAGGAGCTACAGAACATTGCTGACTGCACTGAGGTCTCACAACTCCCCAGTCAACCAAAGTCTTAGGACAAGACTGGAATAGGAGGCTACAGTTTACAAAATAATTGGGAGGTTTTCAGAAAATAGGAATTTTTCTTTAGACTCGCACAGCAAGAAAGCGCAATAAATACTATTAAAGGATGGTTTTATAATAATACTTGCATTTGATAATATAAATAATCCTTGCATTTGATATAGCGCTTTTCAGGTCTTCTAGACATCTCAAAGCGCTTCACAGAATATGCTGTAAAGTGAATTGACTGTATATTTTGTGGGAGAATCACGGCAGCCAATTGCGCACAACTGTCCCACAAACAATCGTGGATTGAGTGACCAAATTATTATTATTATTTTGTTTCTTGAGGGATTATCATCAGGCGTGTGGAGTAAGGAAACTTGCCCAAGGTTTAGCTCTGCCGGGAATCAAACCCAAGTCTCTCGCTTGCGAGACGAGTTCTCTAACCACTGAGCTAAGGACTCCACCGTTTATACCAAGTAGTGAATTATCAATAATGAATGGAAAGTACATGAACAGCGAGGAAGTACAGAATAGTCTACACAGCACATTATCCAGCTGCAAGTAATGCACTTGAACTGGTTGGTGCCACAACATTAATGATTATGATCATTAGTAGAAACCAAAACTTCCTGCTCGATATGGATTGTGTCTTTTCAAAATGGTTTTGACTGGGGCAAAGGAGCAAGAACTACAACATGTTATTGCAATATAAATTAGGAGTCAGCACTCAGGCAATTTAAAATCGATAAAAAGTAGTGGAAGTAGGGGGGAGGCAACACTCACAGCCTTGGGAAAATTTTAACCCAATTATCCACTCGATGGAAAGTTGAACGCAACACTGAAGTCTGAAATTATCCATGCAAGCATATTTTGGTGACAATATTCTTTCTGCCATCTCCGCGAAATGGGCGATGTTGCGGAGGTGGGGGAAGGCAGAGCGGGTCATAGCATGGATGTAGGTTAGAAAGGACAGTTGACGGTCAAACAGGATGCCAAGGCTCCAGGCCAGAGCCTGCTGAACAGAGGGAGTGGACAGGTTGATAGGCGGTCAGCAGGTCAGCGATGGAGGAGGGGGCAAGGCTGTGGAGGGCCTTGAAAGTGAGGACCAGGATTTTGAATTCTATCTTCTGGGGGATGGGTAGCGAGTGGAGCTGGGCGAGGGTGGGGGTGATGGGGTCACAGAGCCTGATGCGGGAGAGGACGCGAGCTGCAGAGTTCTGGATGATGTGCAGCTTGTGGAGGGAAGAATTGGGGAGGCCGACAAGGAGGGAGTTTCTGTAGTCGAGCCTTGATGTGCCAAATGCTTGTACGAATATGCGAGAGACAAGTTAGCTCTCATCCAGGAATTGATATCTGACAGACATTCTGTCAGGACAGCAGTGGTCTTGGAGTCGAGGGTGGAGAAAGAGATATATCCACATATCTGCATACATGTGGAAGTTGACCCTCATGCCTGCAGATGTTGTCACCAAGAGGGAGCATGTACAAGTTGAAGAGGAGAGGACAGAGGACAGAGCCCTGAGGAACGCTGCACGAGACAATGCGGGAGCTGAAAGAGAAGTCATTTGTGGAGACAAAATGAAGACCTTCCCGTTCAACTGTTCCTACAGTCACCTCCCCCTCTTGCTGACTCAGAATCAAGCTCCCCCACTGTTGAGCAGTGCTATCCCATCTGAATGGTGCTACATAAATGCACGTTCCTGTTGTTCTTTGCACAATAATGTCTAATATTAACACAGTTTCTATGTCCCTTTGGCATTGATTCAACAATTCACATCTATATTAATATTTTACAACTTAAATCTTAATTAGAAGCCAAAGTTAAATGAAAGTTTAATGAGTTGTAAAATATTGAAAGCATTTACATTTTGATAGGGGCTTGGTTTAATCCAATGTCTTATCTTTTCCTTTAAGAATCTTATGATTATCCCACACCTGATCATGACCAAACTGGTTTATTAGATATGTTTGTGTAAAGGGATGGAAATATATTTTTTTAAAAATACTTGTGCAAGCAACAGCAGCAACTTGCATTTATGTAGTACATTCAGAGGGTTTGCATTTCAGAGTGCTCAACAGTGGGGTAACTTGACACTGAGTCAACAAGAGATGGAAGGTGACTGTAGGTACAGTGATGGGGAAGGTCTTCAGGTGAGATCAAACGATGGGCAAGAAAGGCAGAGGCAGAGAGTTCCATAGTTTCAAGGTGTATTGGCAGATAGAGGATTAGGGCGTAAGCAGATTGGAGAAGTAGGGAGGTGCCTGGGAATTAAATGATTTGTATGTGTGTGAGAACCTTGAAATGATCCATTCGGCGGCAGGGACCCAGTGGAGCCTAGCGAGGACTGGGGTGATGGGGTTGCAGACTTTGATGCAGGTGGGGACACAGACAGTGGAGTTTTGAATTGATTGGATTTTATGATTGGCGGAGCCGGGGAGACCGGCAGAGGAAGGTATTGGAAAACTCAAGGCAGGTGTGGTGATGTGGCAGAGGTGGAGGATCAGATCCTGATCAGGGATTAGATATGGGGAAATCAGAACAACTAGGGGTCAAACCTGAGGCTCATTGCTATGCTTACGCATATCAAAACCAGACTACTGAGAGATAATAATCCTTGCATTTGATATAGCGCCTTCTCCATTGCAGGGAAATTTCCCTTTGTCTGGAATAATAGCAGGGCTGATGATACCAGAATGATACCAGGGCTTCAAGGAATAAAGTATGTTGCATAAACTTGGTCTGTATTCTCTTGAGTTTAGGAGGTTGAGGGATGATCTGATTAAGGTATTTAAAATGATAAACAGATTTGATAGGGTAGCTACAGACAAACTGTATGTAGGCCATTTAGGAATAAAATTAGGAGGCAGCTTTTCACCCAAATGGTAGTGGAAATCTGGAACTCTCTCATCTAAAAGGCTGTGGATCTATTCATATTTGCAAGACTGAGGTGGATAGATTTTTGTTAGGTAAGGGTTTCAAGGGATATGGGGCAAAAACGGGTAATTGGAGTTGAGGTACAGATCAGCCATGATTTAATAGAATGGCAGAACAGGCTCGCGGGACTAATTGGTCTACTCCTGTGCCTATGTTCCTGTGAACAGAGTGTGCACTGTCCCTGAAGAGACACACTTTGCTCATCTGATCCACGTCTTGAAGACTCTCGGAGTGTGTGTTGAGAGGACTGTTGGGAGTTTATTGAAATAAAACTGGTCAGGTTGTCACTGCAAACACTGTCTGACAAGCTTTCTGCTGTTTCTCAAGCCAGGATCACTCTACTTGTTAAGGCTTTGGCTTGAAGGTTAATGGGAAGTAATAATAATAATCCTTGCATTTGATCTAGCGCTTTTCACATCTTCACATCTTCTCGACGTCTCAAAGCGCTTCACAGGCTGTAAAGTGAATTGACTATATATTTTGTGGGCGAAACGCGCAGCCAATTGCGCACAGCAGTGTCCCACAAACAAACAGTCGTGGATGAAGTAAATGAAGAGAATAGCAATTTTACACAGCAAAGGGCAGGTTGGAAGAACCATTTAAGAATCTAACATTTTTAAAAAAAAACATTTTAAAAGGTAAAGGGTTCTCCTGCTCTTTACCCTTTACATCTGATATCCTATAATATCAGTTCCTGGGAGTTGCACGAGTGAGCAGGAAGTGCTGCTGACAACACTTTCCTTGCAAAATGACATCAGCAATACTGATTTCTACTCAGAACATGCAATTTCTACTCAGAACATGTATCTGCAGAGCACAGAAAGTGATATTAGCATTCTAAGCGAGGCTGTGCTATACGAGGAGGGAGGAGGAGAAACATTACAGCTGGTTTCCCCTGTACCTTGCTTTGTTACTCAAGGATATTTTCACAATAATGTTTCATTGGAAGTCTACTTACTGTTGAAGAGCATTGCTGACACAATCTAGAAAGTCTGTGCTAAGAGTTTCATCCAGACCACCTTCCTGACAAGTGAGAAGAGCATCGACCAATGGAGCTACATCTGGCAGAGTCACGATGGGTAAACAAATAGTAGAAATGTCCCTCAGCCTTCTTGGTGGCACTGTGGTGCAAGTCAATGTCCTGTGAAATTTAAGTGAGAAATCAATAAAACTTATTTAAATGTTTAATTTCATAAAGGTTATGTTCCTATGAGTTTAAAGGTTCTGACACAAACATTAAAGTAGTTGTTTAAGTCTCCTATGTCTGATTTATGAATACAGTTCTGAGATGCATAGAAGCCATCATAATTGCTTTCATTATATCAACATTGATTGTCTGAATTATGTATTTCACTCTGAAGGAGAGAGATAAAATAATGCTGTTCAAAGAAAGGAGGGTTCTGATTAGCAGGCAGCTAGTGTAAAAAAGGAACAAAGGGCCTTCTTCATCCAAACTGCTCTTCTGATCTATAATGGACAGCTTACTGAACTTTGTTGGGAACAGTGGATATTGTGTTCAATTCTCTGCAATAGAAGAGGTCACTGAGCTACCATTGCTATTTGAATACATTTGGAAACAAAAATTTTAAATGCTTTGCTCTACTGAATAAGCTGCTAAAAAAGAAAGGTGGAGTTTTAAACACAACTTGGAGCAGGGAAGTGAAATTCCAAATGCAAATACCCACAATACACAAACAATGCATCAGCATCAATCCACTATTATTCTGTGTAAGACAGTTTTGCTCTTTGAAAATATAGTGGGTGGGTGAAACACCACCAGTATTCCACCTCAATCTCCCCAGTTCTCTGAACGAAACACTATATCTTCAAACAAAACACAAAATATTGCTGATGCTGAAATTCTGAAACAAAAACAGAAGTCGCTGGGAACACTCAGCAGGTCAGGCAGCCTTCCCTCTCTCTGTTAGTCCTTAAAAGCCTCTCCCTCTCCCCGCCCCAGTTCTGATGAAGTGTCATGAACCCAAAACGTTGACTCACTTTCCTTTCTCTATAGTTGCTGCCTGACCTGCTGAGTGTTCCCAGCGACTTCTGTTTTTCTTTACTATATTTTCAAAGATGAGTCAAATAAAAAGTACCTTGAATTAAATTTCTAGCATGCTATGTGAGAGTAAGTGTATCAAAAGTGATGTTTCACCCACTAAATGTTCAAGGAGCAAAAAATGTTTCAACTTGTCCAGAATAGTAAAACCAGGGGACGTGGCCTGCAATTGAAGGGGGGTAATTTCAGAACAAATCTACGCAAACACTATTTCAGTGAGTGAATAGTGAACCTGTGGAATAGGCTCCCTGGGAGATGGTTGAAGGAGGAAGTGTTGATTCTTTCAAACACAGATTATTAGATAGTTTTCTTTTAGAAAGTAACATTGTGGGATATAGTACATATGCAGTTTGGGACATCTGTGCATGCGATTGCCAGGAAGGTGGAAGGCAAACTCAATGGATCTTGGTCTTTTTTCGTCTAGCATTTCTTATGGCCTTATGTTAAGTGATTCAAATTAGTTTTACCAGGCAAAAATAAATTCCCCCAAGATATTAATTTCTTTTTACACTTGTTGTAAATTGTACCAGATGATAAAGCAAGTTTTACAATACGATTTTAAGTTCAGCTGCTTCAATGCATCTATCTCATTACATCCAGTTACTTAACTACATTACCAGAAGCCTCGGGTAGGAGGCATATATCCTACCACTTATCTGGGGAATGATACTTGGCAATGTAACTGAAAGGAAAATAAAATGGAGAATGTATCTTTTTTTTAGTAATGAAATACTTAATTTTATTGGAATAAAATGACACCACTTTTTCCAACCAAAATATATCATACATTTCCATTCATATAATGCTATCCAATACTTGTTTTGATGGCTAAAAGCTTTTTTTTTTAATCAACTTGTCTTTGAAGATAGGTTCCTATGTTTAAGATCTGCAACTGGCGCTGAACACTACAGTGCTCAAGAAAAATGCTTCTACCTTGAGTGAATAAAAAATGTGCACTGTTTTGAGTGTGCAAATTAAATCATTATGTGCTGTAGGCTTAAACCTGTCACTTACCTTAAATAAGTGGAGTTTCTGTCACTTTGATAGTGTTGAAGTTCCTTCACTAAAGACGAGACAATCTGGGAATACAACAGGAAGAATCGTTTTGTACTAAAACTGAGCATGACCTGAACTATCCAATTTCACAAAGTGGTTATCAGCTTCCAGGCATATAGGGACCAATTCTTCAATTGTCAGTGAATTCACCAACCTCAAAAGGTGTCAGCTTATAATGGCAAAAATTATATTATTAGCTCCCGCCCAGGTCAGTAAATTTATAGACACTCAAAAGAATTTTGCCTGGGAATAGGAACATACAGCACAGGAAAAGGCTATCTGGCTGATCCCAAAGGCATGACTCTTATGTTCAAAAAAAATTGTTATTTCATTCTGAACACAGTGGTTGCTGCTAGTTGAGCCAAATATACATTTATTTGGCTCTGTGTCCAAAAGAGACCTGCAAAAGGGAACAAAAGCTTGAATAAGCTTGACTTCAAGGTGTTGTGGAGAGAAAGGGCAGAAACGGTGATAAAGAGAAGAAACTGGATAATTAATATCATTTATAAATTTTTTCCCCCTTTGCCCCCAAAATGATCCTCCTGGGTCCAGGCTTTTTACAACAAGACTTACATAATGAATACATTGGATTTGTCATCACCTGGCAGAACTGCAACTACAACGACCTGCATTTATATAGTGTACTTTGTACGGTGCGGCGTCTCGGAGTGTTTAACAGGGTGGAGCCTGATGCCGAGCCGGGGGTGAAAGGATGTGGCTCTAAGCACAGTTGAGGAGGAAGGTCTTCAGTCATGATCTAAAAGAGGGGAAGGAGGAGGCAAGATGGAGGAGTTGGGGGGAGAGAGTTCCAAAGGTTCGGGCTGCAGTGGCTGAAAGCACGGACGCCAATGGTGGAGTGCAGGGGACGAGGGACAACCACAGAACTATTTGCCGATAGATTCAATTGATCTGTATGATCAATTCAAACTATCAGCAATTGTAAGATCAACTGAAAATAACAGTAGGAAACAGTTGGATAGAAATCCTCTCACTCATCCTCTCAACCACCCCCCCACCCTACCCTCCAACCATAACATATACTTGTCACATAAAATGGGTCCTTCAAAGCATTAGGACCGCTTTACTTCAAAGACTGTGTAATCTAACTTTGCTCTTCATTAAACTCGGCATTTCAGCTCCCACAACAGTCCACCCTAAGCTCAAGATAGGCTTTGCCAAACTGTTCATCTTTCTCACCAGAAGGATCAGCAGCAGTGCTCAGAGTTAAAGCCCAAAATTACTCCAAGTGGCTGCTCTGCTAAGAAGGGTGGTCCAACCTTTTGGCTGCTGAAAGCCGGATACCCTATTTGAGAAACGTCCGTGGGCCGCATGAACAATATTTTTGTGGGGCTGGGGGGCGGATGTGGCCCATGGCCGCTAGTTGGACCACGCTGCACTATGGTATCCATTTAAATCTTGCTCAAGGACATCTGTTTGTAGTGTCTACTGTCCTTGTAAACTGATCCTGACCTTCCTAAAGAGACCATCCTCTGCAAGCTGATAGTACAGGGTGATGCAGTTAGCTCTCCAATATGCTAACTGCAGTCTGAATTCCAGAAATTGAAGCTCCATGAGAGGGGATTATTTGAGCTATTTTCTGAAATCCCTTGTCCTGTCAAAAGCAATACAAAAGGTCCTTTTTGAAATGCACACCGTTTAAAAATGAACTTGTATTAGCCCACGAGGTGCTGGGCAGAATGAAGGGACTGTGACCTGAGCCAAGTAGTAATTTAGCAACTTTGAAACTTAAGATGAAATGATGAACTGATGAGTGGGTAAATTAGACTGCTCAATGAGTGTCACATCTCAATTCTATTTTCCTGAGGTGACAAGGAGTCCTGTGATGTGTTACTTGGATATTTAAAGCATCAACTATATGTGGTATCGTCTGCCACAATGTCCTACAATCTCCCCCACCCTCTTCCTCTCCCCGACCACCTCAGTTAAGGAAAGTTACATTGAAGGCAATAGCTTTCCTTAGTACTCAATACTTTTATTATTATTGTCAGCCTTGCTCAGTTGGTAGCACTCTTTCATCACCAGCTGAGTGGTTAGAGCACTCGCCTTACAAGCGAAACACCCGAGTTCAATTCCAGGCAGGGCGAAACCTTGGGCAAGTTTCCTCACTCCACACGCCTAATAATAATCCCTCTAAAACAACAACAAAAATAAATTGGTCATTTTCAACCCACGACTGTTCGTGGGACACTGCTGTGCGCAATTGGCTGCTGTGTTTCGCCCACAAATATACAGTCAATTCACTTTACAGAATATTCTGTGAAGCGCTTTGAGACATCTAGAAGACGTAAAAAGCGCTATATCAAATGCAAGGATTATTATTATTATTACCATCCCGAGGTCCCGTAAGCCAGTTAAACACTATTCGAACCCTTCACTTCTGACCCTCTTGTGTCACCCTGGTTCAATGGTAGCATTCTCGCTTCTGAGTGAGAAGGTTGTAGGTTCAAGCCCCACGCTGGTGCTGTGCTGCATGGTCGGAGTTGCCATCCTTCGGATATGACGTTAAAACCGAGGTCCCATCTGCCTTTTCAGGTGGACTTTAAAGATCCCATGGCACTATTTGAAAAGAGGAGAGAGTTTCTGGCCAACAAACCCCCCAAATAAAAGTGGTCATTCATTTGATGGCTGTTTGTGGGATATTGCTGTGCATAAATTGGCTGCTGCGTTCGCCCACAAAAACCCAGTCAATCAATTCACTTCATAATAAACCTGTGAAACACTTTGGGACTTCCCAACATAAGAAGTGCTATACCAAATGCAAGGATTATTATTATTATGGCTCTTCGTAGGACATTACTGTGCGCAAATCATTACTGTGCGCAAATTGGCTGCCACATATATAGAGTCACTACACTTTACAGCAATATCCTGTGAAGCCCTTTGACACATTTTGGTTTTATAAGCCGTATATCAAATGCAGAAATTATTTATTATTTTATTAAAACAGAATTATTACAAGAACAATTACATTTGATAGCAGAGCTCATTGCTGGATCAGGATAAGGTGCTCAACAGGAACTACTATCAATGGCATTCTCACCCATTAGTTAGATATCTGTGTCGAACTCTTTAGATTTACAAACCAATGTGCAAAAGTATAACATCTGTGATCCAGTGTTATCAATGCTATCTTGATTGTTCGTGGGAGAGACATGCAAGCAACTGTCAGCATTAAATAAGGAGTTCAGATGGCAACACTAACTGGGAAGGAGAAGATCACAGCCAAATAAATGTCTTGAAGGGACAGCCGTCACGCAGATGTTCCTTGTCGATCACGTTAATTTGCAAAATTTACCATGCAATGCATTACCTTCAACCCTGTCCTATCTACAACGAAAAACTCCTCACCTGTGCAGACAGAGGTAACTGCTGCCTGTTGGAATTTAATAAATCTGGTTTCTGAATATCGCATTTGACTCCAATTTGAAAGCTCACATTAGCAGTAAACAGGCACATTCCATCAAGTTACTTACATTTCTCAGCAGTTTAGAATGGTATTCCTTCTCAGGGTAATGTAAGGTCTGGATAAAGCTTCTCACTCCATCATCATCAACGTCAGTCAGGCTCCGCAGTAAGATCTTTTTTTAAATTTGAAAAAGAAAAGTTACAGAAACAAAGTTTAAAAACAAACATGTTCTACTTGTGTATGAAAAACAAGTTCGCAAAAATATAAAAGCCACCTAAAATGCACAGAATATAGAAATGAATCACACTAATTTGTTGCATGTCAAGTTTTACAGTATGTTGCATTTTTCATCTGCTAGGATACAGTCAATGATGGTTCAGTTCAGTTAATGGAGACCCATAATTGAGGTACTTTACGATTAGCTTCTATTTTACCAGTAACTCCTACAGTGAAGAGCATCCACTGTGTGTGGGCAGAGTTCCACTCCACTCACTAAGTCATGCTAGATGCTAAATCTTCACTGTAATGTACGCACAAGCCCTTTACTACTGCTTTCCGAGCAGCAGTAACAGACATTTTCACCTTAAGAGTCTTACTTGCTTCCCTTATATTAGGCTCCAATATGTAGTCATTACACATGTTAAGCTAGTAGGTCTATAATTCCCAAGTTCATTTCTCAGTCAACAACAACAACTTGCACTTATATAGCACCCTCCATGCAGAGCAGAATCTCAAGAGCGCTCAACAGTGGCAGAGCCTGACTCCGAGCTGGGGTGGGGGAGGGTGGAGGTGACCATAAGCACGGTCGAAAAGGAAGGTTTTCAGGTGGGACTTGAAATAGGGGAGAGAAGGGGCAAGGCGGAGGGATTGAGGGAAAGTGTTCCAGAGCAGACATTTTCCTTCTACAAAAATACTCCTATGCTAGCAAAGTGTTCAGTACACTTCGTATATCCTTTACCTCTACCGAGAAACTGAAGGGTTCAGGGCTATGCCTTTGACTGGAGAGGAACTTGGGGGCCTCCAAAGCATTGGACTCAGTGAAAAACAGGTTTATTAGCTGTTCCTGGAACCTGCACAAGAGCAAAAACAGGCATTGGTGTGTCCAACTGAATGCCCACTCCTAGCATTTTGGTTCAAAAGAATTAATAGGGGAGCCTTTCAAACTACTCCTAGATAATATCTGGAAAATATGTTAGAGGGGAGGGTCATAGGAAAGGAAGAAACACACAAAAAAATCAAATTAGACACCCTTGGCTGTCTGACTTGGAGCCAAGACTGCTCGGGTGGGTCCTGGAAACATCTGGTATACCCTGAGTATTCACAGAAAGAACATAAAACTCCAATTGATTTAAAAGCTGCTTTCTGATGCAGCAAGAGAAGATTTTGTAAAGGGCCAAGTCTCAAACAGTCTCCTCCGTTCAGTTGTGTTAAATTAAGACAGTCTTTGAAATTGAGCTGTAACTGACTGCACTTGTTAATCCAGATTTGCAGATTACTGTGTAGCTAAGATTTGAACTGTTTATGGTGATCGCAAAAGATACATAAATGCAGGGACAAACCATTGCAGAAAAGATTACGATAATACCTGAAGATGAAGTACAATACTTGACACATTATAGCTTACACAACTAAATATTTAATATGCATTCATAAGATTCATTAGAAAGAAAGAACTTAGAATTTTATACGATCTTTGACAAAACTCCACAAACCCCTTTCCTTAAACAGCTGCTAATAGTAATAAAAATTAACAGAATGCTTACTTTTGAACACTCATACAATAATAATCCTTGCATTTGATATAGCGCTTTTCTCGTCTTCTAGACGTCTCAAAGAGCTTCACAGAACTTATTGTAATGTATATTTGTGTACTTATAGGCAAACCTAGCAGCCAATTTGAGCGCAGCAATGACCCACAAACCGCTTCTCCTTGAATGACCAATTTTATCTGGAGGATTGTTGGGTCAGGATACTGAGAGAAACTCTTCTCTTTTTAGACAATGCCACGGGATTTTGTCAAGTCATCTTCCTTGTGCATCACGTTAGTTTGCAAATTTACCATGCAATACATTACCTTCCTATCTACATCTAAAAATGCCTCACCTGTGCACACACAGGTAACTGCTGCCTGTTGGGTCCTTGCATTTGATATAGCACTTTTCACATCTTCTAGACATCTCAAAGATCTAGACATCTATTATTATTATTATTATTATATTATTAAAACGCTTCACAGAATATATTGTAAAGTGAATTGACTGTATGGTTGTAGGTGAAACGTGATGTAGCACCTTATCATATTATCACATTTTATCTGGAGGATTGTTGGGTCAGGACACTGGGAGAAACTCTCTTGTCTTTTTGAAATAATGCCACGGGATTTTGTCATGTAAATACTGTCAAGTGAAACGACCCAGGCAAATACAACAGCCATTGCACAAGGAAGTTACCTACAAACAGTCATTAGCTCAATGATCAATTAATCTACACAACTGTTGGTTCTGACACCCAGAGAAGCTCCCTTCACTTTTCAAATACTGTCACTGGATCTTCAACATCAGTTAAACATTCACCTGACGAAGAGCTCCTCTGACAATACATCGCTCAAGTTCAAGAAAAAAGGAAGAATTTAGTGGCCTAGAAATGCATAAGCAAATATAGCTTTTGAATTTGCTGGAATGGTAATATAACACTGTCAGATTATACCACTGGACAAACCCTATCATCACTGCAAATTTCAGCCCAAAGGCAAAAGATCGAGAGGGTGAGTTTAATAAGGTGCAACTTACAAAGATCAGTCACAAGAATGGGGCGAGGGGAAGAGGATATTCTTGTGAATTATAAAATTCAGGACCCATTCATCACCACCGATGATATTTATAGTACCAAACAAAAGACACAACATTGCACCACACTGCACGATTTAATATGGTTTCAATTTCATTTTTTTCATGTGCATCAAACATTTGGTATTGATTATAACCATCATTGCTTTGCTGTTCTTCTTAGCAATATCACTAAGTACAATACATCAATACAGTTGAAAGCCTATGAACATGGAAAACCTGAACAAATGAAATTGATCCATCAAAGAAGAACAAAGACAGCATTGGGAAGCAAATGGAGTCGCTGTAGAGAGAATAGGTCCATTAACTACATTATTAATTTTTCCAATGTTGAAACAATATGTTCGTAAAGTGAAACACAAGATACTGCACTTAGTACATATCATCAAGGTTGCTGTTATTTTAAAAGAAACTCAAAACACTAATGTTTGGAGGTAGTGGGGTAGCGTCTCGGAGCAAAGAACAATGGCAGAGTTTGATGCCGATTTGGGGAGAAAAGGCACAGTCAAAGAGGAATCTTCAGCTGTGATTTGAAGATAAATAATAATTAGAAACCTTGCATTTGTTATAGTGCCTTTCATACTGGGAGCACATCTCAAAGTCCTTCACAGGATACACTGTAAAGTGTAGTGATTATATTTTGTGGCCCAAAGCTAATTTACACACATGAATGTCACGGACATTGCCTTGAAGTGAATGACCAATAACTAAAGTTGAAACTAAAGGCAAATTAACTGATTGTACTGAAAATTAGATCAGCAATAGGACACAAACGGTGACAATAGGTGGAAATTCATTGAACTTGGACAGTCACTAACAAAGTAGCAGAGGGATCTGGGTCCCCAGCTAATCACACTCTCATAAATACACTTGATTTATGGACCATTACAACATTAGAAATGTTATGATGATAACAAGCCATGCTAGCATACATATACATAATATATATATATATATCAGAAGGACACATAGCATACAAGATGATCTGAATAGATTTTAATATAATAAATGAAAGGTAGTACAAATTTGAAAAACAGTCAATAAACAGATAGAAAAAAATGAAGGTTTCATTTGGTAAAGGTTCAAAAGACAAATGATTGAAGGTGATTATTGATCGTATGCTGAAGGTTGCCAGGCAACGTTAAGATATTAGCAAAACAAATCAATTGGATTGAACTTTGAGGGCATTTGCCTACAAGTCAAAATAAATTATTCTATCTTTATATGGATCGCTGGAGAGACCATATTTGAAATATTGTATCCAGTTTAGGGCAACATATCTTCAAAGATGTATTGAAGTAAATGCATCGGCAGGATGAATTCACTGGAATATGAAACCCTCAAGAAAAAAAACAATAATAAATTGGTAACTTCAATGCATGAGTGTTTGTGGGACATTGCTGTGCGCAATTGGCTGCCGCATTTTGCCACAAATATACAGTCAATTCACTTTATAGTCTATTCTGTGAAGCGCTTTGAGACGTCAAGAAGACGTGAAAAGCACTATATTAAATGCAAGGATTATTGTTGTTGTTGTTGATGAAGTGTTTCAAGTAGAATAGCAAAGCTGATTTGGGGAATTAGAGCTCTGTAATGAACAACAAGATTGCATTTATAGAGCGCCTTCACGTCGGGAGGACGTCCCAAGGCGCTGTACAGTTAGGTCAGGACCCGAGCATTGGGGGGAAATGGTCAGGGTGAGGGGAGGGAAGGGAGGGAGCGAGGAGGGGGTAGAGATTCTAGAGAGGAGCTGAAGGCACAGTCAAAGAGAAAGGTCTTGAGACCGGCCTTGAAGGAGGAAAGGGAGGAGGCGGCGAAGGCACTGGGGGATAGAGTTCCAGAGCCTGGGGCTGAAGAGAGGCTCATAGAGCTGAACATGCTCTCATTGAGGAAAATAAAAGATAGGCTGGGAAAATACGATCCAGATATTTAAAGTGAGGAGAACTAAAGTAAATCAAAACAAGCTACATGGGAGAAGTTTAAAAATAGAGTCTGAAGTGCAACTGAGAAGTCAAAATCTAAATATTTCTCCTTCTTAATCTATTTTCCTTCCTATAACTACAAAAAAATAAGACTCAGTCTTCCTCAATAATTCCAGCGAGGAATTAACACAGCTGATTTCCTTGTTATCACAATGACGCTAAACTTACTTTGAATGCAAACCTTGGAGAAAATGTATTGAAAAACGAGTTTTACCAAATCATGATTAAAAAGCCATGCGTGTTTTAAACAACGATAATTCAATTCATCGGCCTTTAAACTGAGTCAAAGACATTGCTTTTTGGTAATTGAACCTGACTAGTTAGGTCTCTTGTACAGAGGAGAG